AGAGGCCCGCCTCCGTGGCTGCAGAAGGACATCCCCTGAGGGCTCCCGGACTGTGAAAGGGCACAGGCTGGCTGAGGCTTCCCCTACTCTGTGCATGAATTCCATGCACCGGGCCTCTAGTGACTATATATGCTTCCAGGTAGGTACTAGACTTCTCAGGGTGATCATTTTGTAAAGTATATAAGTGTCTAACCAGGACCTTGTACACCTGAAACTATTACAAAATTATATGTCAACTCTACATGAAAAATAATTTTAAAAAACCAAATTAAATTTGTTTTTAAAAAAGGGAGATGGTGACCCACCTTGCAAGCCCACCCAGCTGTTTCCAGTGGTTTTCATGCAAACAGCCAGTCTTGGCCCAGGCTTCACACTTTCCTAAATACTCTGAAACAAGCAGCATCTGGCCTTGGCTGCCCCATACCTCTCAGTAAGGGGCCCAAGACCTAGCACTAGTGGCAGCTGGCCTTGGTTTGCAGCTTGGCCTTACCTAGACACCTCCAAGTCCAACACAAGTAGCAGCCATCTGCAAATGGCTCTGTAGCTCATGCCAGTGCCCTGGGCAGAGCAGTCAGTGTCTGACCTAGGCCTGCACCTCCCAGGAGGCCCCAGAGCCAGCACACCTGTGGACGGCTTCAGACCACATCCAAGTACCTCCCATCACCTCCACAAGGTCACACTCAAGTGGAAGACTCAGCAGACCCCAGAGCTCTGCTGAAGAAAGTCCTGCTTTGTGGGTGGGCCCTCCAGTCCTTGGTGGTCACAGCCAGTCCTTGCAAGTGATTGGCTTTGGGGAAAACCCTCCCATTGATTGCCAAAAGCAATCAATGCTCAACTACAACAAGAGGGTGAACAGGACATATACGGGGAGTCTGGTGGGGGAGGGGTACACCGGAAATATACTGCTCGGGTGAGTGAGGAGGACTCTACAGGAGTTTACTATGTAAGGCCTTTCTACCAAGCCCGGGAGATGTAACAGCTCTGTCCAATGCATAGAAATAAACATAGGGAAGTGGCCAAAATGAGGAGACAAAGAGCCACGTCCCAAATGAAAGGCCAGAAAAAAACTCCAGAGAAAGAACTAAGCAAAATGGAGACAAGCAATCTATCAGATACAGAGTTCTAAACACTGGTTATAAGGATGCTCGGAAACAAACTCATAGAAACAGGACTTTTTGACGATTGCCAGACAGCAGGGGTGTTGGAGAGATAGGCAGAAAAGATGAAGGGATCAGGCAGTACAAAATGATAGTTACAGAAGAGTCACAGAGATGTAGGTTATTGTGTAGAAAGTAGTCACTAACACTGGGATAACTATGATCGAGATTTACTGGGATGATCACTGATAAGTCATGTCAGACCTAGTCACAGGGTGTGCACCTGAAGCTAATATAACATTACATGTCAATTTTAATAGAAAAGCAAAACATTAAAATCAAACAAAATAAACAAGTGAAAGGGTGGTGGTGAGGAGACCAGTAACCTGAACGTGTCAGATTCCGGTTCTCAGGCCCCACTCCCCTGCTGGCCAGAAGCTGGTTGTGGCAGCCCGGACCCATGACCTGGGCGGACTGACCCTCAGTGTGGTGCAGGGGCAGGCCCCTCCGGGAAAGGCTCTTGCCAGGTGGCTGGTGAAGAAGACGGCCCACATGCGCTAAAGGTCGTAAGGAGCTACCTATGGGACAGGAGAGGAGCAGGGAGGCCATGCACATGGGCATGTTCCCTGCTAAGCACTGGGGAGGGGCGACATCGGGGAGGCACTTTTCAATCGCACCTGCGGACAGAGTAGGTGGTCGGGATGGCCGTGGCCCCGGCAGGTGCACGGACTTGGGTGTATGATTCCGGAACACAGACGTTTTCTGTCTCGGCTCCTGTTGGCTTGTCGTTCATGCTTGGCTTCTTGGCAATCTCCTGTGTGGCTGTGGCCACGTGGGCCCACACACTGCACTGAGGGGCTGCAGCCAGCAGCTGCCGCTGCCCCTGGCCCAGCCGCTAGCGTGGCTCTCCCTTCTGAACCCAGCTACACCTCTGCGACTGGCCCGAGGGGACCGGGGCTTTGGAAACCAGGGGTTTAATTCTACGGGAGTGAAAATCATTTCTTCTCCAGGCGAGTCCCAGGAAATCTTTTTTCTCGGGATACTGCAAGGAGCCCACCCCTCCAGCACCCACAGGTGCGTGCCACTGCACCCCCAGTCACAGCTTGTAGCACCGGGTCGCCAGACTGAGTGCTGAAAATAGCCTCATATTAACCAAATTATTACCTTTAGCCACGTGATCTTGGGCCAGTCACATGCTCTTTTTCTAGGGTCCAGCTAAGGGCACTATTTACTAAGCCTGTGCACTACATTCTTGCTTTGTCATAACCACCATTCTTGGCTTAGAGATGGCTGTGAGGCTGCACAAGGTGCTTCTTCGGAAAAGCCTTTGGGATGGCTCCCTCCAGCTTCTAGGGAAGCCTGCTGTCCACCGAGGAGGCCCGTGTGCAGGAACTACCTGCGACGCCCCAGCCAAGGACCACAGCTGAATTCTGAATGCTCTGTCCGGGAGTCACCACCATAACAAACCACAGCCCTTTGCTCTGACACCTGCTTGGTGCCAGACGCCAGACTCAAAGGCGTACAAAGGAAGCATCTTATCCAGCCTGCACAGCCATCTCTCCGCTTGGAAGGCGAGGAGCCCAGCTCTCAGTGAGCTCACGTGCCCCTGAGAGCAGGCACACCGGGTGTTCCCAGGAGCCCTCCCCTCTGCTCCGGTGCTTCCTGCCTGGTGTGACACAGCGTGTTCATTTTGTCACTGCCCTGTGAGCTGTACGGATGTGTTCACACACACACTGCACACATCAGATATCGTGCAGCCACGCCTTAAACACAAACAGAAAGTGGTAACAAAGGGGAATTCTGTGGGTGTTTGACCAGAACACGGAGAGGTCTCAGGGCAGGAAGCAGGGAGCCGGGACTTGACGTAAGAGCAGGGGAAGCCCCAGGGTTTGACCAGAGCCCACGGTCAGCGTCTGACTCCGCACCAGCAGGTTCGAACCCAGCAGGACCGAGGGCCAGAGGGGGTGGGGAAACAGCGAAGTTTCTAAAGCCGGCCTGAGGAAAACCACTGTCTTTTGTCTCACAAACCCCGGGCCAGGGCAGTGAGGTGGCTTATCCTTTTCTGGTTTCCCAGGACCTCCGAGGGCACCGTGGTGATACCTGACCGTGGGAATCCGGGAAGCGTCCAGAAGTCCAACAATAGGGACGAAGGTAATGTTCCGTGCCTTTATGTGAGAGACGGCCCCGGGCAGCCATTTAGAAACCAGGACGCGGCGGTCCTAACAAGGACGCCGACCACAGCGGTGCCTGTGCCCCTCCTGTGCTGCACCGCGCCCGCCTGCTCTGCTCTGCGGGGAGCCCGGCGGGAGCGGCACTGGCGGGTCCGTGGCTGTCAGCAGAGCTCATGGGGAGACGCAGCTCACGCGGTGGACACGGAATCCCAGTTCTTACCCAAGGCCACACCGGGGCTGCTGCACAAACCACTCGTGTGTGAGCCGACTGGCACACCGCTCTCCACCCCCTGCAAACTCTAGCACGTGCACATGGGGAGAGCTCATGACATATTAACTTAAAAAAAGAAGTATGTGCAATATGATTCCATTCCACAAATTGTGTGTCTGTGTCTGCGTGTACAGTCATTTGAACGGAGAGGTTCTGCCCGCAGGACACTGGCAGCGTCTGCAGTCACATCTGGTTGTCGCAAGTGTGGAAGCCGGTGCTGCCCAACCTCAGTGCAGGGGACACGCCACCCCAGAATCACTCCACCCCGACGTCAACAGTTACGTGTACACACACACACAAATACACACATACACAGAGGGGGGAGAGAATATTTCAGAATGCTAACAGTCATCTTAGGTGCAGGCTTATTCTCTGACTTTTTAAAAATTTATTTATTTATTTATTTTCACAGTTTTATGTATTTACTTCATTGTCTAATGATCAGTTGAATGCACATAGATGTAGCTCTGTCACTTAAGCCATATAATTGCCAGGACATAAACACATGCTAGCTCACCCCTCTGGCTGAGCCCTCGGGGGTACTCAAGTCCCAGTGTAGCCTCTGGTGGTTACACCTGCTCTGGCCAGTTCCTCCTGATCCTTCCCTGTTGCTCTCCTCCTTCCTTATCCTTCCTCCCTCCCTCCCTCCCGTTCTCCTTCCTTCCCTCTTTCCCTGATGCTGTCCTTTCCCTCCCAAATATGTGCTGTTTGGTAGATTCAGACAGACCTGGCTTAGCGGCTTTGTGACCCTGAAAAGAGGCTCAACCTCTCTGAGCTTCCATCTCCCACTTGCAAAGCAGGGCTCCCTAATAGTTGTAGCTGATAACTACAGGCTGGCCAGGCAGCCAGCTCCCCATGCCAGGCTCTGGGTAGGCACTTGGGATGCATTAGACCTCATTATTCCTCACTACAGCTCTCAAGGTGGGTACGGCCATTGCCCCATTGGACAGATGGGCAAAGTGAGGCTGAAAGAGGCGAGGTAAGTTATCCAGCACAATTTGAGCAGAACTGGGATGTGATCTGGGCCTGTCTTTCTCCACCAATTTCAGGCTCATGAAAATCCACATGACTGCCAGCTTCCCTCCTCCCCTCCTTCTGAGATGGTGGCAAAGGAGGGATGGGACAGTCGAGACAGATGACAGGTTTACAGAAGCCTAAACACGTGGGCACTACTGGAGGTGCTTGGCATTCCTGTTCGATGCAGGCTGTATTTCACCACCAGGACTCCAAAGATCAGGGCATCTGCTTCTCGGCGTGGGAAGCTCCGTGCTTGGCAGACTGCTGGGCTCAGTGCAACTGTGAAGGCTCAGGGGTCTGGGGGAAGGGGCAGTGGTGACAAGCAAGGACAGGACTAGCAAACGGACCAAGGTGCTGTGGGCTAGAGATTCGCGGAGGGTCATCAACTGGCACCACCATGTAGCACGTCCTGTGTCAGGCTCTGTCACTTCATTTTATTTTGTTCTCACAAGAGAGGAACCAAGCTCAAAATCAATGCCCTTGAAAAGCCGCTGAGCTGGGATTCAAATCCAGATCTGTCAGGTTCTGACACCCATGCCCTGCCTTCCATACAGGCCGCCCTCTGAGGGGACGCCCACTTGGGTCTCAAAGAAGGACATCCAGGATAAACGAATCACTTTCAGAACAAAGTGACAAAACACATTCTCCCCAAATTTCCCATCAGAACTGCCTGGAAAAGCAAACGTAAAGGTCACCGGGGTCACAAACAGCCTAAGAGCCATTTGAGCAAATGCCAGCTGCTCCCACACCTGGCGTCCTGCTCTCTCGACCAGCAGGACAGTGGAGAGTCCCGAACTGCTGCTGCTGCTCCCTTCCAGGAGGCCTCTCATCTCAGGGCCTTCAGCGTGGCTTCACTCTGAGTCTCGGTTTTGCTTTTTATATTTGTTCATGATCCAGTCAGCATCTTCAATGGCTCTTTTAATAATCTGCTGGATTCTCTCAGGACTGTCTTCATCTGAATGAACCTGGAAACTCTGCCTGACAGCGTGTCTGTAATGCTCCTGCATGCCCTTGGTGGGCAGCTGTCGGCAACAGCGCAGCAGGTATCGGTAGAGCTGCAGGAGCGTGTGGACCAGCTCTGCCCCTGGGAGCCGGGCCGTCGGCAAGGTCGGCCCGGGCGGACGCGGGGCCACGAGTCTGATTATTTATTTTTTTAACAAGGAGCGTGATTAAGTATGGGAGGGAAGAAAAGAAAAAATCCTGCAGTTGCAATGATCCTAGAGATGATTGGTGCAGAGGAGCCGCAGAGGGGAAGGTGGGAGAGGGTCCCTCGTGAGGTATGGCTTTCTGATTCTGAAAGCTGGCGCATGGAAAGCACAGACAGATGTGGGGAGAGGGTCTGAGCCCAGGGTCAGTGCCCCCTCCACTGCCGCCCTCCCCTCCCGGGGGCAGACCTGGGGCTGTGCAGGTGCCTGCGGCGAGGTGTGTCTGGGCGGCTCACACAGTTACTAGTGTTGCTCCTGGCACCCTCGTCTGCTCCTGGCTGTACAGCCCCATTGCCTTCCACGGCCCAACAACACCGGCAGCTCCTTAAGGTCACGGTCCTCAGGGAAGTGAAGAGGGAGGCAGCATGACCCAGCTCAAAGCGACGGACGCCAGCAGCCACTCAGCAGCCCTGCGTGGGGTCCCTCCAGGGCCTGAGGCAGACATAAGCTGCCCCCCCCCCCCCCCCGGAAAAAGGCCCAGAGAGGCCCAGACGTGGCTGGGAACGCAGCTCCTGGCAAGTTCCTGAGCGCTGGGAGAGACGCACACTGCACCAATGGGCCTCTCAGGCCCTGCTCCCCTCTGGGGACACGTCCTCCGCCAGCTCCTCACCCCGGGGCTGTGTTTGAGTCGGACCTGATTCCCAGGCTGCGTGTGGGCAAGGCTTTCCCGCCCGCCAAGGTGCCCTTTCACCCCGTCAGCTGTGGGAGAAATACTGGTGATGTTCAGCTCCCCTCAGTGCATGCAAGGATGTTCCAAACCAGTGTCTGACCGAACCCAGCAGATTCCTGGACCAGTGGCCTTAGAGCAGGATGGCAAACTGTCTTAAGCCTCACGCCAGCTCTGAGGGAGGTGGCTGTCTGCAAGGTGGGGCTCTGGCCAGAAGAGAGAGCTGCTGGGCCGAGCTGCTGTGGGGCCTCTGTCTGCACAGAGGGCGTATGTGACCAGGCTCCTCCCGTCCGTCAGCCCTGGGCAGGCTGTCCACCACTGACCAGCGGTGTCCGCGCTCCGGACTGCCCGTTCCCACGCCAGCAGGTTCTCAGATCGCCGGCCAGAATGACGCTGGGACTTTTAAATGCAGATTCCTGAGCCCAGCCGCCTGCAGGACTTGATGGGGCTGGGGCTGGGGCGGGGGTGGGGGGTGGGGGTGGGGGTGCTGAGCTGCGACAGGGCGGAGGGCTGTGCTCCAGAGCTCCTATGGTACACAGCACAGAGGTGGTGCGGAATCTCCCGTCTCTGTGGTTGTTAATCCTCCCTGAGCACACGTTCCCACTGCTTTTCAGAGAGAGTGGGGGGCGGGAGGGAGGCGGGAGAGAGACATCGATGTGAAACACATGGCTTGGTTGCCTCCCACCTGAGCCCAAGGGGCCAGGGGTTGAACCTGCAAGCCAGGTACGTACCCTTGACTGGGATCGAACCCACAATGCTTTGGTGCATGGGCCAATGCTCTAACCACTGACTCGCTGTCCAGGACAGGAAACTTTAGTCTTTACCCAGAGCACTCATATGCACACCGAAATCTGCGAACATTAACTTAGAACTGTTATCCCCACCTGGGCTGTCACACTTAAGAACACTTTTCAAGTCCCTGCTCCAGCTGGGGTCCGGGTGGGTCAACGTGCCCCTCACTCCTGCCCCTGCCCCTGCCCCAGGCGGTGCCTATGCCTCTCCCTCACATGGGAGCTGGACCAGAGCTCACTGATAACCAACAGATGTGGAGGGTGTGATGTGGGGGACACCCAAGATTAGTGCATAGAAGGAATTTTGGCCTCCTCCTCCCTCTCCCTTGAATCACCTGCTCTGAGGGGCCCTCTCAGCGGTGAGGACATGGCACCCCACCGGAGGCCTTGTGGGAGGGAAGGCAGGCCCCCTGCATCCAGGCAGGAGCCGTCAGGAGGCCTGGTGCTGACTGCAACGCCACGCGACCCTGGGCCAGAGCCACTGGCCACGCAGCAGCCACGCTCCTGACCGGAGAGACGGAGACAGCGATGCCGCGAGGGGAGCCTGAGGCTCCCAGCTGTGCATCACCAGTAAGACGTGCACGGGAGCGCTCCCCGGTTCTCACAGCAGCTCTGACCCACAAGCCCTCCTGACAGCGAGGTCAGCTGTAGCGCGAGGTCACCTGTTCCTGTGTGTTCTCTCCATGTCCCCAGAGACCCGCCAGGCCGCCCACAGGCTGAGGCCCAGCTGCTGTCCCAGGGCCCCTGAGGGCCCAGCTGTGTGCATCCCCTTCCCCCTCCTCCCTGCAGCCCAAGGTGGGGAGGCTCACCTCCACCTCAGCTGCAGTTCACCTCCCAGCCTGTTGCCTCTCTGCACACAGCACTTCCAAAGGGACTCACCAATGGGCCCATCCTGGTAAGCAGGCCTCCGCCCTCTCCCAGCTCAGGCACTCCCCACCCCATCAAATCTCTCCCTGGCTCAGGAGCCCCTGCATCAGGGCTTTGTTCTTTCCTCAAGTCCAGCTGAGTGCTCCCCAGCCCGTGTGCCTGAGCCCCCACACAGGATAAAAGTGCAACCCAAATGCACAGACATAGTGAACTTGACACACAGCTGAAGAGCTCGGAGTGACTGACCTCCTGACCTGCACCTGAGACAGGGACTCCTGGGGGACGCCTCTGGCACCACAGCTGCCATGCTGGAAAGAACCTTCCACACAGACAGGCCTGGGTTCTGTGATGCCCTTCGGGAATAAAATAAACAACTAAACATTTACCCTCAGGGGAAAATGTTGGCCCGGCAATTCCTGCAGGAACACAGGCTCCAGATCCCTAACGCCAGGCGCAGAGTGAGGGACCTGGTCCAGACCTCCGCCTGCAGTGGAGACGCTGAGCCCCAAGCCAGGTCCCTTTGAGAACCCGACATGGACCAGGGGCTTCCCGGTCTGGTCTCCCGAACCCGAAGCAGGAGCTGCCTAGACCACAGGCTGAAGCAAAGTGTGGGACAGTTACCACACGGACTCGGAAGCCCTGCCAGGGGAGGGATCCCAAAAGCAAGCTGTCCGGTAAAGCCAGGGTATGTATTTGCTTCCTGCTCCTTGTCCACCCTTGTCATCACCTGATTGAGTTCCCAGAAATGAACCTGAATGCTCCCTGTTTCTGTGTGTTCTCTCCATGTCCCTGTGCTGGGCTCTCCCTGTTTCTGTGTTCTCTCCATGTCCCTGTGCTGGGCTCTCCCTGTTTCTATGTGTTCTCTCCATGTCCCTGTGCTGAACACTCCTGTTTCTGTGTGTTCTCCCCATGTCCCTGTGCCGAGCTCTCCCTGTTCCTGTGTGTTCTCTCCATGTCCCTGTGCCAACACTCCTGTTTCTGTGTGTTCTCTCCATGTCCCTGTGCTGACCGCTCCCTGTTTCTGTGTGTTCTCTCCATGTCCCTTTGCTGGACACTCCTGTTCCTGTGTGTTCTCTCCATGTCCCTGTGCCGGGCTCTCCCTGTTCCTGTGTGTTCTCTCCATGTCCCTGTGCTTGGCTCTCCCTGTTTCTGTGTGTTCTCTCCATGTCCCTTTGCTGGAAACTCCTGTTCCTGTGTGTTCTCTCCATGTCCCTGTGCCGGGCTCTCCCTGTTCCTGTGTGTTCTCTCCATGTCCCTGTGCCGGGCTCTCCCTGTTTCTGTGTGTTCTCTCCATGTCGCTTTGCTGGACAATCCTGTTCCTGTGTGTTCTCTCCATGTCCCTGTCCCGGGCTCTCCCTGTTTCTGTGTGTTCTCTCCATGTCCCTTTGCTGGACATTCCTGTTCCTGTGTGTTCTCTCCATGTCCCTGTGCCGGGCTCTCCCTGTTCCTGTGTGTTCTCTCCATGTCCCTGTGCCGGGCTCTCCCTGTTCCTGTGTGTTCTCTCCATGTTCCTGTGCCGAGCTCTCCCTGTTCCTGTGTGTTCTCTCCATGTTCCTGTGCCGAGCTCTCCCTGTTTCTGTGTGTTCTCTCCATGCCCCTGTGCCGGGCTCTCCCTCTTTCTGTGTTCTCTCCATGTCCCTGTGCTGAGCTCTTCCTGTTTCTGTGTGTTCATACCTCTAGTTTACTGCAGGTCCTCCCTGTTTTGCATTCTTTCCACTTTGAGTCCAGAACATTATATCATTTCTCCTTGCTGGTTCCTGAGGTCCAGCTGCTCAAACTGCCTTTGTTTTCCACTGGCCCCTGCCTGTCTGCCTGCCTTTCAAGCTAACTCCCCTCACATTCTCGTTCCCCTCAGGGGCTCTCTCCGTGTGTGGCTGTGTCTCCCAGCTCTGGGCCTGCCAGCTGCCCCTGCCTACTGATGTCCAGGGCGGCGGCCGGCTCCTGGCCCCTGGCTACATGTTCCTTCCCCCAGGATGCAGTGGAGCAGCGCTCTCTCCCTGCCATTTCACCGCTCAGAGGGTCCATAGTGGCAGGGCTGGCCATTCCCGTTCTGCTCTGAGAGTCGCCGGGCCCAGAGGTGCTGATCACCAGTGTGTGGGTCCAGGCAGAGACCTCAAGTGGAGCTGAGACTGGTGGGTCAGAGGAGCCAAATTTGTGATAAAGGAACTCAAGACCAAAAGAATATCAGTGGAAGAGCAGGAAGTGAAGAAATACGTGCTCATGTAGGAAACCATCTCTAAAATGAGCTGACTAGGTGCAAACCAAGTGATAAAGACACAGGAGCTGGGCTGACGCCAGGAAAGGCGACAGATATGAGGAGAGAGGACCAGAGCCACAGGGTCCTCCGGGAAGTCATCACAGGGGAGGTGTTAGGCCGCTTAGAGGTCACTGTTGGTGTCTGTTAGGATAGTTTTGACCTAAAGCATGCAAAAATAAGAAAACACCCAGTACCTTAGCCCAGAAGGTGTTAAACTTCAAGTCCAGAGGCAGGTCAGCCTGGAGGAGAACACAGCCAAGGCCTGGCCGGCTCTTCTGCTATGCCCTCCGCTCTGCCTCAGCTCTGCCCTCAGCCTCTCTGTCCACAGCCTGTCTACCCTCGACTCTGCCCTCCCCTCTGCCCTCCCCTCTGCCCTCCCCTCTGCCCTCCGCTCTGCCCTCCGCTCTGCCCTCCGCTCTGCCCTCCCCTCTGCCCTCCGCTCTGCCCTCCCCTCTGCCCTCCCCTCTGCCCTCCCCTCTGCCCTCCCCTCTGCCCTCCGCTCTGCCCTCCGCTCTGCCCTCCCCTCTGCCCTCCCCTCTGCCCTCCGCTCTGCCCTCCGCTCTGCCCTCCCCTCTGCCCTCCCCTCTGCCCTCCGCTCTGCCCTCCGCTCTGCCCTCCGCTCTGCCCTCCCCTCTGCCTCCCCTCTGCCCTCCCCTCTGCCCTCCGCTCTGCCCTCCGCTCTGCCCTCCCTCTGCCCTCCGCTCTGCCCT